GCCTGGTCTGCTGTGAGCTGGCACTGGCCGCAGAAGAGCTCTGCCAAGTCCAGCCTGGACGCATAAAATATCACGACCCTCCGAAGCGTGGATCAAAATAGGTGGTACATGGGTGTTCATCCGTCCCAAAATGGCTCGCCATAGGTTCTGACCCATGGCCAAATGTCAACCAACGGCCACTTTCGTGGGGCAAGCTCGGGGTTTCTTTTAGGAAGGAAGAGGCGCAGGCAGGCCATACATCGAAACTTGCGACCGTTTCCAGCATGATTCGCTGGGTTCCCCTTTTCTGGAGATCTGTCTCGGCATCCATTGGTCCATCCATCCCCAAAAGCCAATTCCACCAGCCACCAGCCAGGTCTACCCCCCAAGCTCCCGGGCTGCAGATGAAGGCTCGGCCAGTAGACGCAGCTGCCAGCCTGACGCAACTCGTCGGGGACAGCAAGGCGCGGCTTTGCTCCAATTCGGCACTGCACATGGTTCATCAGAACTTGCACACATGATGCTCGAAAATGTGTTTTTTGCAAGTGCCGGCTTTGTAAGCAAAATTGATGGCCCCAGCCCAACTCGACGATGCCCCAGAATGGCTTCACCAGACAAGACAGCTTCTTTGGACCAACTACAGGCAAATCACTGGCGATGCTGGTGTTCCTGCTGATGCAGCCACTGCCAATTCTCCGCAACCATTGGCCTTGGCGACTCCCGTCGCCTCGTCGGGCTGGCACATGAAGGCGCAGGCTGCATTATGGCCGGCCGCCAGCTCTGCCAGGACCAGCCAGATCTGGCAACATCCACGTCTGAATAGGGATCCTTACATGAAAAACACCGGAGCATTGCCTTGCAAATGGTGCTTTCCCTTTATGTTGCTGGAAAAAGCCGTGTTTCGAATGGACAAAGTGTATCTTTTAAGGAGCCCTGCTGACGCAGCGCAAAATGTCTCCCGGGGAGTGGTGGCTCCGGAGCCAAATGTGTGGTTCTGTGGTCAGCACAAGGAGAGCCTTTCAGCCGAGTGTCCAGTGCTTTACTTTCAGGAACCGGGTGGGGGGGGGATTCGGGGAGTCGGAATCCTATGACTCCTATGACTCCTATGACTCCTATGACTCCTGTGACCCTCACACGACTCGTGCCAGGTCGCGCAAGTCTGGGAAGTCGAGAGTTTGGATGAGCAGAAACAGCCATGGCTAAAGGCTTTGCTGGCAGCTCAGTTCGGGAAATCAACCACTGCATTTCTACCAAACAATGAGAAACAATGCAAAGGCGTTCCCAACCAAATCCATGTCTGTCGCGACTCTGGCCCAGTCAATCATGCCTCATGTTGACCCCTTTTGGGCTGTCTCTGCTTCGTTTTCTTCAACCCACCAATCTGGCAACCTACCAACCGAGAAAACAAAGCAAACAACCAACCTTGAAACAAACGGCACCAAGCAACAAATCAAAAATGAAACGACAAACAAACAAAGAAAAGAAAAAAGAAAGAAAAACAGAAAGACGGAAACTAAACAATCAAGCAAACAAACCGACCCAACCCGACCCGGCCCAGCCATCCTGACCCAATTTGACCGGAGCCACCCAGCCCAACCCCCCAAGCTGCCCACCAAACCAAGGTATACCAAGCCCATGCGAGCCAAGTTCCTTGCCTTCAGGAAAGGCCTGCGCATCCCCTGATGTGTGTGTGTGTGTGGCGGAACCGGGATTTGGACCGTCGAACCCCCCCAAAAAAAACAATGCGGTGCTTGTGTGGGTTCCCTTTAAAAAACGCCCTGAAAAGGGTCTCACGAACAAACACACACAAAAACGCAGACCTGTGTTTGGAACAGTGTGGCATGCATCCAAAAGGGCCTGCACTTGTTGGGGGTCCCTGTCAGGTTCACGAAATCGGGGGTACTGGAGATCTTAGTGTTGTTTTGTGCTGCCTTTCTTCACCGTGGGGGGCCTAACACGAGTCGGCCTTCCGTGGGGGCCCAAAATAAGTCAGTCATATTCCCAGGGAAAAGTGAGCCCCAAAAAAGTGTGCCCCCTTAGGTGATGGCACACAAGTAAAATTGTCATGGGTAAAGCCACAAACCCCTATGTATGAGATCTGTGCAATTTGCCCAGATTGATTGTTGGAATCCCAATAAGCAGCATCGACTGCTCCGAGAGTGTAAGCCATGAAACCCATCTCTCAAGGCCATCCACCCTTCGGCACGTGAGTCCGAGGCGAATCAACTCACAAACACCCATAGTTCCCCCCCCCCCCGCTGAGCAAAGCTGAACACTTTCCCAAGCTCCTCACGAACTGCGAAAGGGAATCTGGGGCTGTCCGGACTCCCAGGTCAGGTGCTGCGCTTGCAATGCCTACGTGGTCGATGTCGCCCTTGAGGGGGGTTTCTTCTGAACCGGTTGCGGTTGGCCGCCCTTGACACAATGGCAGTGGACGTTTCGGGGCTTCCCCGAATAGAACAAATGTCCAGCTCCGGAGGGAAACCTGCTGCAAAGAAACCGAGAGACTGCTTACACATAGATTGATCCCCAACTTCTGAGGGCTCACAGCATGGCAATCCGGCTGAGCTCGACGCATATAGATCCTCAATTCATCAAACCTCGGTGAAGGAAGCAGTGTTATTTTGCTCAATTAAACCCCAACGGCTTTACTATTAAGACGAATGGAAGTGCCAGTGACATGCAGTCTCGGCATCGCAGATTCTTGGCATCGCAGGTTCTTGCATGGCACCAGCCCTTCTGCTATCTGGCGCGCTGCCTTGGCTCCGATTGAGCAATCTGCTGCTGAACCTTTGAACTTTGTCCAAAAAATACTCAAAAACCATGTGCAGGGGTCAACCTTTGCAGGGGTAGATGCATTCTTTGCAGGCTTGATGTTCTTCATACCCCTTGTCGGTATGCAACCACTGTACGAGGGGTTGCCAACCAAGGAACCGTTTTATCACTAAAATCCAGGAAGAAGAAATGAAGATGTGTTTATCTTCATGTCCAAGGTTGCAATCATATGGCTGGTAAAAGTGATTCAGAAATCATACATCAATTGGTTTCAACAATTGGTTTCAAGATCAGATATGAATCTCAGGCTATTTACTGGCAATATGTTTGTCTATGCCTCTCCTCTGCTTAGTATGTTTTACGTTCCGCTTTGAATTGACGGATTCATGACTGGTTGTTCTTTTGTCTAGTTGATTATTGCAACTTATATGTTCTTGCTCATCTTTATTTATAAAGCTTATCTAGTTGCACGTATGCATCTTCAAAAGTCATAATACGACATGGTGATCTTGGTTTTTATCAAGAACAGAAGGCAGACGTGAATGGGGGACAAGAGTCTCGCCGAATCCATTTTGGTGGCCACCCATGTGAACCCATGGTTGTTGTGACTCCAACGGCCGTTGAAACCATCGGTTTTAGTGGCCTTCCCTCAAACATGCATGTTTACATTCACTTTGAAAATAATCACTTCACGTCAGCACATCACATGTCGGGATATCTCCGAATATGTACTCACATGCTCACCTGCCCAAACTTTGCCTAGAATGAAAACCCAAAAGGACAAAAGATCAGGTCGATTCTCTTGGCGCCCCAGCCACCAGTTTGAACCCACGGCGGCCGCGGGTGAAAAAAAAAACCGCTGACGCGTTGCGCGAGCCAAACGCTGCAAGACGCGCAACGAGTCATCCGCTCATCTGGGACCTTTGGTGGACATTCATGCGGGGATTGACCGCCAACCACTTTTCGGGTGATCCACAAACGGGTTTGACTTGGACTGTTGCCATGGTGACACTTCGTAAATCCCCCATGCGACTTTCAAAAAGCGCATCTGAACCTTCCAAATACTCGCAGTGGAACGTGCCAATGGCCGTGAACCCATTCCCTGATTGTTTTCTTTTATTTGTATTTTGTTTTTTATCATGGCAAACAAACTTGTTCTTTTGGGAATACGTTGTTTCTCCCTCCTTACTTGCTTCCTCAAGTATAGCTCCACCAAACATTTCCTACATTGGTCCACTTGTGGCAATCTTGCGGCTATCATCTTGGCAAACCACCATCTGATAAAGTACGCCAGGAATCCATTTTGCCTGGTTAAAGCAACCCTCTGACCTCCCCGAGTTTGGACACAAAATATCAAAATGGTCACTTAAGCAGGGTTTTCTGGATTTCCCCTTCAATGATGGTTTCCATTAAAATTGCCACTTGTGGAGGTTCAAAAAGGAAAATGCAGGAAAGCCTGTTAAGTTTTGGCAGATCGCCAGGTGCAGTAAGGAAGCTCCCTTGTTTACCTGAAGCTGAATTTATTCAAGGCTTACTTGACGCGAGAGCAGGCACGTGCCCCTCTGTCGGAAGTACAGGTGGGGGGTGGGAAATTTACAAGCCCCACTCGTGAACTTCCAGTGTTGGAAAGTGTAGTTCGACTCTTCCATCAAAAATGTGCGTCGGTATCGACCCGTATCGACCCGTTTCACCCATGCGCGAGAAGTCACGAAAGAGCTATGCTGCCCAGGAGCTTGAAGAGCAATGCCCAGGATGCAGAATGCTTGTCGGTTCAAAAGCCAAATCGTTCCCCCAGTGAACATCCGATTCAATCCAACCACTAAAATAGGTTCCAAAATGGATGGTACACCTACCCCCAAAATGGTGCCATTGGTTTTGACCCACAGGCATATGAGCCCCAGACAAAATTATTTGTTTCCTAACTAACAACAGACTCATAGACTACCACCCTCCCGGTAGCATTTTTTTGTCAGCTGCTCAAACGGGGAACATTTGCAAGGGAGCGTTTTTTTGGCGCACTCACCATGACCCACCAGCGGCAAATGCCAGCAAAGTTCGCCGACTGATCTTAAAGCTCCTTCGAAAACACAGGCCCCTGGTTTGCAGAGAAACTTGAGGGGGAGCCAGCAAAGCCCCACTTCTCCGCACACAACACAAATCCGTTTCTCAGTTGCTCCAATCTTCTGGAACTTCAAGTTTAGTGCCCAATTCTTGGTTTCACCCGGAAATCGCCCGCGAATTCGTGCCTGGCCCAAGCCCAAGCTAGCCCAGGTCCCATCCGTAGGCACCTGGGCATTCCCATGTTCCAGTGTTCCATTTGGGAAATGGGAGAAGTGTGTTTCGGGCCACCAGGCCTCTTGCGAACCGCGCTTGGGTGCAAGGGATGCATGCCGGTACATTTTGCTGCCTGGCCTTAGAGGATTGAAGCAAGGGCTGCCCCCAGGGAGGAGTTCTCAAAAGGGTTCTGAGAACTTGATCTTTCGGGCATTGGTCAAAGGGAGACTGCCAAACTTGTGGCTCTTGGCTTCCTGTCTCAAAACAGCCTCCAAAACAAAACAAAAACAAAGAACACACCCGCTTCAAACTGGCTGCAGTCCTTTTGGCTTCCTTTCAACCATCCAACAAGGAGCTCCAACAATTTTTCTCGACCCCCGCCCATACCTGTGAGAAATGACCACTGTGATAAAACGGAAAGGGCTTCACACTAACCAAAAACTCAACCCCCCATATAAAAGTGGGAGAAATCGCTTGTCCCAGAAGTGGGTGGGGAGAAGCCCCGAGTGATCGATCCCCGACCCCGCCCCAACTGGGTGCCGACGCACCGAGCTTCGGCCCCCGACACGTCGGGCGGCTTCTCTGGGCCTCCCAGCCCCGCCGGAGCCTCCCAAGAGGCGGCCGAACTCCAGGACCTCCACCACCTGCGTCGCACCCGGCGAAAGGCTGGCGGCTGTTTTTCTTTTTTTTTCTCTTTTTTTTGTTTTCACCCGGCTCTCAGAACCAAAAACCGAAAATCAAAAAACCGAACACCGCCCCCTATGTTCTTTTTTTTTGACACTCTTTTTTGGCAAACAAAGGGGCTCTCCCTATTCTTTGGACACTGCCATAGCTCAGAAAGAAACGAGGTTGATCTCCGAAATGAGGGTAAACCCTGCCCAAATTGGGCACAAGCCCCCTACATAATGGCTTCCTTGCAGCTGTTTAAACCACCTTCCCAGAGTCTTGAGACAGACCCATCGTTCAAGTTGAATCAGTGAAGGCCGCTTGGCCGGTTGGCTCCTGCCCGTCTCCGAAGTACCCCAAACCGCGTCTCCGCTTCTCAAGTCCCATGGAACAGACTTGTTCGTCATTCGAAAGGTAAGTTTGAGACTATATATATATATATATCTCTCTCTCTCTCTCTCTTTAGTGGACCCATGTGTTCACTGTCATTTGTAGAGGGGATGACGTTAGGGCATACTCAGCCCATGACAAATCGGAGGAATCGGACGCCCGATTTCTGATGTTTATAATCCCGATAAATAATCTGGTGATTTCCTATGTCTATCTTATTGTTCTTTGTCACTATCTTTTGTCATTCCTTTGTTTTCGCAATTATCCTTCTCTTTTCATTTACCTTCTCTTTCCTTAAGATCTTGAAGATAGAAATATAATGGAAAAGAAGGTGAATTCTAGGTTTGGGTGCTCATACATTTCTCTTTACGACTGCTTGTCCTTTCGGTTTTCACACTATCTGTCCCACCTATAACTCACTTTGGCACAGTAGGTAAGTTGTGGCTATCAATCGCCGATCTGCTTCTTCTGTAATTTATGGATTTCTATTTCTCTCTTCCTTTCCATTCCTAAGATTACATTATTATATCTCAAAATTATGGAAATACTAAAGTATGAATCATTTTGGACAAGAAAGAGAGGAATTACATAGAGATATTCTATCCAAGATCTTGAGCCGCTCCGGGGCTCAGGGTCTCCACACGAGAAATGACCTTCGGCATGAAAAACCGCTTCACTTCCCACCCTTACTACGGAGGAGCTCTAGGGATTCATAAGCTGGATTCTCTGTCCGGCTGGGAAGGAGTGAGGAATGGGAGTTCATTTCTCTTCAGAAAGGCAATTCTCAGAAGGGCCTAACATGCTCAGGGCCCAGCGGACAAAAATTCACGAACCCGTCCAAAAAGAAACCACGAAGCTGGCTAAACCGCTCGATTCCCCCGGCCAGGCCTCGTTGAATCCCACCTGGGACTTCCTGAAGCGCAGGGCAAGCCTCCCTTCACAAGAAAACACCCGAGCCATAACCAGAAAGGCGAACAAGAATGTAGAACCCCAAAGGTCAAGAGGTACATGGCCTTCCTCAATACCAAACTTCTGCTTCTTTGAAATCCCTCTCAAGAGGTTGACGGCCATCCCTGCCAACCCCAAGCAGAAGGTTGAAGGTAGTTTTGACCATTTGTTAATGCTTAGTTCCCGTCCGCGCTGATTTGATCCACTTGACTCAGATACCCTGGCCGCAGATGGTCGGACTAGCACTTGCTTGCTTTCTGGCTGGCTGGCTGGCTGGCTGCCTGGCTGCCTGGCGCTTGATTGCTTGCTTGCTTTGTGTTGCTTTGCTTACTGTTCTCACCGTGGTTGTCGCGCTGCAGAGAGTTTCCTGTGACAAGCAAGTTTTCCGTTGCCAGAAGACCAGCTTTCTATATTGGCCACTGCATCTGCGAATGCTGCAGCCATGCTGGCTTCTCAAATCGTGCCCGCAATCAACCGCTTTGCTGCACCCAAAGAGTTGGTTTGCATCTCTCCTCCTGGAGAGCTCTCAAACATTGGCTCTTATTTTGGTCCTCGTCTTTGAGTCATTTTGGTCCTAGTTTGTTTGGGGCCGTTTTGGTTTTCAGCCGACCCCTGCTCATTTTTGGTCGTAGCTTCTGAATCAGGTTGGTCCCAGTCTTTGCTCATGTTGGTCGCAGATTCAAATTCTGGCCAAATCAAAGTGTGAAAATTGAAGGGTTCAAAAGAAAGCTAACGTTGGAAAAAAGGTACCCCCCCCCCCCATAGTTGTCAAAATTGTCAAGGCTAACAATAACGTGGTAAATCAACATGTTGATGGAACAAAACTAGCCCCATAAAGACGAAAAGCGGCGAGTCTAAACGACAAGTCGAAGGGCTGAGGGAAATTCGCCCCACGACAAAACGAAACGCGCGTCTACCAACCGCAAACAAAAGAGACACCTGTTCAATGGGGCGGGGGGAAGAAAAAAGAAACATTCTAATTTGTTTGACCCCAAGAGCAACAGCTGACAAGTGTGATTCAAAAAAATGGTTGAAGGGTGTGTCAAAAAAAAGAGGGGGGAAAAAAGAGAGGCTCTGCCGGCCGAGCCTGGGCTGCGCCTGGCATTCGACAAGCGAGGTGGAGGCAAATGCGCCTCCCACCTGGGGGTACGAGACCTGAGATCCCGGATGTTCGGCTCAGTTCCCGTTCATGGCAAACTCAAGCTTTGGGCTCCAAGCTCTGCAGTTCCGCGAATCAAAGATGAGACTTGAGACAACTGAGACTGTTCTAATTGGCAGCAATGGGGAAGGGATTGGTGGGCGGGGGGGGGGGACACAGTTTGCCCTTCAGAGGTTAGCGCCATCTCGGGTCGATGAAAACACCTGCGAAAATGGAGGAGAATTCAAGTTGCAGGTGTTTCACCAACTCCCTACCAAAATGGCGATTCCGCGTTGCAGGTAAGTCGATGATCCAATCAAATACTTGGAGGGCTGCGGTTTCCTCACATTGGCATTCTTGGTTCATGCAAGAAAAAGCAGACAGGAAGGAAAAAGGCAAGAATTTCAGTCACAACCTCGAAAATCCCATAAAAGCAGTCAGCAAGCCGGCCTTGAACCCTATCCCAAGCATGGAAACCAAGGAGACATTCCAAAAATAATAGCGGTTTGACCCTGACTCGTGCCACCCAAGTCGCCTGGGTGCAGCCATTCAGTGTCATTGCGCGAGTGCGGGCCAGTGAGGCAAGTTGACGGGAACGGAATTCAAAACGGTTTCTGCCATAATCTCTCGTTTGTGAACCTCCCATGAAAACCCCCCACATGTTTGCTCAAAACTGCACGTCGCAAGTCTCTGAGGTCAATCCAAGTTCCTGCGTTCTTTGCTCAAATATTCCACAAACCACCTACTATGCCTATCTATCTATCACCGCTTTGTTGCCCACGCATTGCCCAGGCATCACCAGCAACTACACACTGTGGCACATGTGGTTTTGAACAGCTGTGAGCAAAGCATGGCCACAGTTCATGTCAAGTGCGGCAGACACCGCCGCAGGAGAGGTGCATGATGCATGGTGCAACACGATTTGAAACGCAAACCTCTAGGGGTTGATCCCCATTCTTTTCAACCATGGTTCTTTTCAAAAACCAGCTGTTTCCCTAGGGTTTTGGGTGGCTTTTTAGAAAGAAGGATGCCTGGAAAGAATGGGGAAGGTACCAATTCAAAACTGCAAGTGTCAAAGTGCCGTGCGCCAAAAACAGGGCGCATCTCCAAACCAAGCGGGCTGGCAAAGGTCAGGGTTTATGGCGTCGAAAGTTCTTCAATGCACCAATACCATGGTTTCTGGGATGAAGTTGTAGTGACAAGGACACAGGAAGGTAGAAACGAATCGGATCAATGCCAGCAAAAACAACAACAAGCTGAGACATTGTGCCCCTGTCAAAATTCTAAAGCCAAAACCACGCAGTCCGAACGCGCGCTCTGCAGGTCGCGCACTGCACTGCTCCAAATGAAGGCAAAACGGATCTGTTGGCACGACGAACGCGCGCGGGCCAAAGCCACAAAGGCTAACATGCAAGAAGCTCACGGGGTGGCAGAACAGCAAGCTTTCGCGCTGTAAAAAATGACACTCTGAGCCCTGTTGCACTGCTCCTAGCTTGAACCCAAACAACCCTCACATCAAAGAACCCCGCAAATCCAAAAGGCGCGCACTTCTTTCTCACGGGTTGCAACAGGCGTGCTCTAGCTTTTGAAGCGCAAGCAAGCGTGCCCACCCTGGCGTGTGCGGCAAGGGAGTACCGCGGGTACAGCCCCGGAAAAGGCGAGGGCAGGCGTGCAAAGTGGGGTGGGAGGGTGGGTTTCAATCAAAACAGTTTGAGTTCAAGGCGTACGAGATTCACGGCCCTAGACACACGGGAAAAGAAAACCCTCAGCGTTAAGGCCTGTTGCACTGCTCCCAGAGTAGTAAGGAAAGGGGGCCGGCCTATAGTAACCAATTAATTTGCGTTTTTGGAGGCAAAACCACCCCTCCCTTTGGAGAAGTCACTGCTTGTCACCAGGCACTTTTGGGTGGGAAAAGGGCACAAAATGGCAAATCTCTCTTTTTAGAGGGGGTTTCCCAAACGAATTCTATTGCACCTGGGAGGGTTCTGACACTTGTCCGTCTCAGGAAACGACCTTGTCCTGCGAAGGATTCGAAATCTAAAATGCTGCGTGCAGGCGTGTGGCTGCAACAAAACGACCCCGATATGCTTGCAAAATGCCCCGCAGCTGCGTTTCTGCAAGGCAAGCTAAAAAAAACAAGGAAAAAGGTCCAAGCCAGCCAAACCCAACCAAAAGCCAGCCAAAAAGCCAGCCAAACCCAGCCAAAAGAGCCAAACCCAGCCAAAAGCCAGCCAAAATGCCAGCCAAAAACCCAGCCAGAAGCCAGCCAAAAAGCCAGCCAGAAGCCAACCAGCCAGAAGCCATCCGAGCCAACTAAAAAGCCAGCCAGAAGCCAGCCAGAGCCAGCTAGAAGCCAGCCAAAAAGCCAGCCAGAAGCCAGCCAAGAAGCCAGCCAGACTGGTCCTTTGAGGGGGCTCAAAGGCAGCTGCGGGGCATTTTGCCAAACCGCATATTAGGCCTGCACGCAGCATTTTAGATTTCGAATCCTTCGCAGGACCGCGATACTGCTCCAGAATCAGGCTGATCAGAGTCACGGTTTTGCCCGATTTTGATGGCCCGAGGAAAATGCCCGTGCACGGAACCAGTGGCACCACGGGGTCAGAGGATTGTTTGCTGCGTATTCAGGCACAGGAAACAGCTTGATCTTCCCCATCCCTTTGCGTTACTTGCCAAATTCGAAGCCGGGAAGCCGGGCGGCGAGTCCGTGAGCGCATCGCTGTGTAGCGACGCGCTCACGGAGTTTTCCGGGCAATCCGGGCGGCGAGTCTGGGAGCGCAGTGCTGTACAGCAGTGCGCTGATAGAGTTTTCTGGGAGACACCGGGCAATCCTGCGCTCACGCCAGGATTGAGTGGAGCAATCCTGTGCTCACGCCAGGATTGAGTGGAGCAATCCTGTGCCCGCACCAGGATTGAGTGGAGCAATCCTGCGCCCACGCCAGGATTGACGGCAGGGCGAGTGAATGGTGAAAAAAAAACACTCCGACAGCGGTATGGCGAGGACCGACCCGCTGACGGACCTTCGGCACTGGCCCGGTGATGGGTTTTTCGGGCAAAAAAGCAAAGTCGGAATTCCGACCTCGGGTGGCGCAGGCTCGGCAGGCTGGAGGCTTCTATGCCGGGCAGGCGGTGCGGCCGGGGTGGAGGCTTCAATGCCAGGCAGGTGGCGCGGCAGGGAGGGAGCTCGGATTTTTTTGGGCCCTTATAGGAACCTATAGGAATCTTTTCGGAAACCCATAGGAAACCCATAGGAAACTTATAGGAAGCCCTCTTCTTCTTTTCCTATGGACTTCCTATGGGTTTCCTATGGGTTTCCTATAGGAGGTTCTATAAGGGCTTAAAAAACTCCGAGCTCCCCGGCCAGGGTGGAGGCTTCTAGGTGGTGCGCCAGGGTGGAGGCTTCAACGCCAGGCAGGTGGCGTGGCTGGGGGCTCGGAGCTCGGAGTTTTTTGGGCCCTTATAGGAACCTATGGGAACCTATAGGAATCTTATAGGAAACCTATTACCTAGCGTGCCAGGCACGCAGCTGATGATGTCTCATATGTTATCACCAACTACGAAGCAGTGTCCCTCTCTCTGTTATTTGTGAAATCTAAAACCGCTCACAGCGCATCTTGAGAGGTTATCATTCAGCAAATGTGGATTCTGCGAAAATTTGGTGGTTTGCGCGGTGCGGTCACAGCCCTTCTGCTTGCACTTCTGCAAGGGTTTTCGCTTGCTTCAATACGCAGGCAAAACGGGTCCTAGTCGCATTCTGTGCGTCTTGGAAGTTTAAGTTGCCCGGGCTTAAAGTGCTGCTTCTGGCCTTGTAAGTGCGTTTCTGTTGCGGAGCTTTGTGGCTCGAAAAGCATGATAAGTGCTTTCTAAGCGCAACGGTGACTCAGAGCAGAAGGGTGGTTGGGTTGGAATTCTCTTGGCCTCATCTGCTGCATGTGAGCCTTGGGTTGCGTCTCCGTCAATCCTGCGCCGGCAACAGGATTGCATTGCTGCTGGGTTAGGGCAGCCGCAGATAGGCCAGCGCGTAGCATGCCGGCCTTTACTTTCAGGACTCCGGCTTCCGGAACTTGCGTAACGCAAAAGGACGAATGGGGAAGATCAAGCTTCTCCCCCCGCCTGAGTACACCAGCAAGCAAGCCTTGGACCCCGTGGTGCCCCTGGTGCCATGCACGGCATCTTCCTTGGGCCCAGCAAGTCGGGCAAAACTGTGGCGCTCATCAGTCTCATCCTGGAGCAGTACAAGGGTGTTTGAGCGGATCTACGTTTTCAGCCCAAGCGTCAACATCGATGATGGCTGGATCCCCGTCAAGAAGTACATCGAGCAGGACTTGGGGGTGAACACGGAGCGTGAGTCCGCTTGCGGCGCATCATCCAGCAGCAGCGCAAGATCACGGAAGCGTCCAAGAAGTTGGAAATGAAGAAACTGTACCAGGTGCTTGAGTCATCGACGACTTTGCTGACACGCCGCAACTCCACAAGCCGCACGGACCCTTGACACTCTTCATCCGAGAACGTCACATCCGAGGACGTCACTACGCAGATCAGCACCTGGTGAGCTCGCAGAAGCTGAGGCTCATCAGCGCAGCCGTGCGGGTCCAGCTGCCGAAGGAGCAGCTGTGCCGGCTGTATAAGCAGGCGCCCAAGAACCTACTTCCTCTTCGTGTACTACCTGAAGCCGAAGAACAAAATGTTCTACAAGCGCTTCGAAGAGCGTGCGCTTGAAAAAACGCCGAGCCAGAGAGAAGAAAGGGGAGACTCTAGGCTCACTTTTTTGAGTCACACTTTGAGGCTCAAGTGACCCAAAACGCCACGCGGCGGCCCACAGACCTCTCGCATTTGCAAGCCCCTTGCAAGCTTGCAAGCTCCCTTGCAAGCCTCCCCTTGCAAGCGCTCCCTTGCAAGCCTCCCCTTGCAAGCTTGCTGGCGGTATGCGCGCTCGAGCGCTGCTTCCAACGCTCGCGAGGCGCACGGGCTCGGACCAGTGCTCGGCAGGCGCTTCGCAGGTGACCGGATGTGTTTCCTA